TGGCGGCTTCTCTAAAATAGATAATAGCAGAAGCTTTACTATATGGATAGAAATGTGGAAGTGCAGAATAAAAATCATTCCTAACCATGGTGTCACTCTAAAGTGAAGTACATTTCCAGTTACTCAATGTATTCTAAGGTAATTACTTCCACAAGATTGCAGAGATATTTGCAAAACTCCGGACAGCAGGTGTCTGCAGTGGGGAACGAACGCGCTATTGTCCTTTCCGGAGAGTAACGCATTCATCACCACACCATGCTGGTCCTCCTTTTCGCCTGTCTCTCAGCTAGTTCTATCGATTTGTGCCGTCAGCAATCATCCGTCAACGGGATTGATCTGGGGAGCCCACATCGGCATTGAACCCAGTTAAGCTGAGGCTGTAATTGAATTCGCAATGTTTGCTTTTAATTTTCTGCCTTCTATTTTTTTATGGCAGGGTATTAAGCGAAATACAACCACAAGATCGTAGATATTTCGCTTAATACCCTGCCATGAAAATAATAGAAGGCAGAAAATAAAAGGTAAACATTGTAATTACTTTCGTTACTCTTGATTGCAGCACTTCTCTTGAGGTGTTTTAACAAACAACATCCGAAGCGGGCCTTTCCAGAAATGACGACGACTATTTTTCGATCATTAGACTATTAAAGGAGCTGAGAAGTTCACAGATTTATAGACGAGATCCTGCACTATCACCTTAACGCTATTTGTTATATACGGTGCTTTCAATTTAGAACACGTTCAGAGTTGAGTCTCCCGCTAAAAGAATTGAAGAAGAAACTGGGATTTTATAAAAAAAATATCCTACGCTAGCGCGGCAGCCGTAAACATTGACATTCGCTTGGAGTACACGATCACGGCCTGTTCCATGGAATTTCGACAGTTCAATCGGCTTAGTGGCTAAAATAAGGATCTTGGCCAAAAAAAAGTGCAGAGAAGTTCCGCGAAACTCCGAGAATCATCGTTATGGAATGAACTCATAATAGAAGATCTACAGGTCTCAATTATTTCTATTTTAACTAAGAAATTTCAGTAGGGTAGGTGATATGGTGGTTCAAAGTTTTAACAGGGTATTTCATATTCAAGGCACTGTACCCAGTGCGTGTTGGGCGTTGGCTTTTAACGTCATACATTAAAGAAAATAACACTTGAAAAGGCCTGAATCAATAGCTACAGTTTTCATTTTCTGGAATACAGTGAGATGTCTAGTGTACAAGTTTCATTACTGGAATCATAACCCGATAAAAGCTCCGATCCAATATGGGCGGCAGTGGCAGTGATTTGACTCTGGCCCAAGCCCCGTGAATGTTCCACTCTCTGCAATCCAAGCAAAAGGTTAGAAAACATTCGTAGATGACGAGTGGGAGGAAACAGATCGAATTTTAAAAGTGCTGGGATCCGTAGAGTAGGTGTTAAAGATAACGTGTGTAAAATAAAAAATAGACCAGTCGTGATCAAATTTTGGTGATATTAAACCAGAAACCAGCATTACGCTAGTACTTGGTAGGTTATTTTCTCTTCATTTCTTTCCACGAAAACAAAAAAGCTCTCGGAAACGGAGGAAAGGGGTGAGTGTGCTCATCGTATTACGATGATCAGCTGCCAGTTGATTCGCTAGGCCTGGTCGCCGAAGCTCATAAGGAGCACTTCCATCTGAAAATTAAAGTGAAAAACTAGAACCACCTACCGATCTAGAAGGTTCGCTGAATGGATGTGACCTTGGCACACCTCGAAAAAACCATAGACTGGACTCGAAAAGACTCCAAATGGACACAAAAACGTTGCCAACCCAACAATTGGACTCCGAACTCCAACTAGAAAGGAAGACGTTACCAACGAGCAACGTGGCAGTCAAGGAGAAACTGTTCTGAGATCGGGCTATGAAGAACGGCTGTCTAAGCGAAGACTTCCGGAAATGTAACTATTGTTTTGAATTAGGTTGTTATGAACTGATACATATCAGCTTCATTACTGCTGTGCTGTTTGGAACCAAACTGCTTGCAAGACGAAAACAAAAAGAATTGTAAGCAGCTAAACGAAACTTCACCACTTCTCAGCTGATAAAATCGCGGCCACTCATGTCCTCACAGTTAGAAGTTCGGAAATTTCCTATGCATGAACTTCATCTACAACGTCGAGATCAGCCTCGTTTCCATGTTCTATACGAACTCAGAAACCAGACCACGAACGCTACTGACTTTTCCGGATAACGTATCCGAGGCAACGACGTTAAGGGAGCCCGTTCTCTTGACAACACTAAATCGAACACGATTTCATAACGTTCCAGGAACAGCGAGAAGAAAAAAAGGACACCTGATGAACCAGTCATCATTTCGTCATCGATCAGACTAATTCGTGTCGTACACTCTGCCCGGTTGAATAGCACTCTTTTCTGTTACCACCCTAATGTTCGCCGTCGATTGTCGGAGTCTTACTTCTATTCTCTCTAAAATCCGAACATTTTCAGGTGTTCGAATTCGAAAACATGGTGGCCAAGATAAAGGGAGGTGATATTGTCGAAATGCAAGGCGATGAAATGACCAGGTAAAATAGCTTTGAAAAGATTCACAACTCCATCAATTAACCTCAACTCCATTTCTTAAATGATTTCCTGAACATTTTATTCCTTATAGGTAAGTGATTGATGAGTAACTATCCTGAAAAACTGTGGATTCCCCAGCAATACTTCCAACAAAATGTTAGCCATACAGATGGGCAACTTAGACCGTATGATGTGTAGCTACGTATACATCCCATTTACAGTATCCAAATGAAATTTACTTAACAGAGTCGTCGACGTAACCTTCATGTTTATAAGCATGCATTTACTTAGAGTCGTAATATGTTTAATTATTGGCATTTGAATAGGCTAAATAAATGGTTGGAGGCGTCACTGCGACACACACGTGGAATCGATCCTCGCGCTCATGGCCCACCAAGCCTTCCGTCCCTCCGGAGTCGGCAAATTGGTACCAGACTTGTCTGGGAGGATAACAGACTGGCTCGATACATCGGTGAGCCACTGTAAGTCATTGTAAAGGCCAGATATGCATTCAATCACCTCCAACGATGCTTAATTAAGTCGAATGTATGGCGCATCCCTCAAGGATTGATTAACGCTGTGACGTTTATCCTTTTATCCTTTTTAAATAGGCATATCTTACCAGTGAGGTCTTCTCTAAACTTTTTATTTGGATACTTGGATGGCCCTTCTTCACTGGCCTGGCATTCAGGAACACCTCCCATACACGGTGAAGCGGTAAGCCGCTGGGAATTCTTCCCTATATCAATGTTGATCTTCAGTTGCGATAATCGTTGAGAACATAATGCAGCCAATTTTTTACCAAAATGATACCAAAAACAAGGATGAACATGAGCTGTTGGCCACTTTGAACTTTGAATGCTCTAGTTATAACTTTTGTCCATTTTTGATTTTATTTGTCCAGAAAGTTGTTCTTTTAATAATGTTCGACCCGAGATTCTACTGATAAGCCCTTGTGAAGGTGAAGGAAAGCGATTTCCTCTTATTGCAGTCGCGATAGGAAGAATTTTGTCCTCGATCAACATCGTATCTTTTTACTGTGTTCTCGTCACTCGGCACAAAAAAAATACTTTGGTGGAAGGCCGAGAATAACTAAGTGTCTCATTTCGGAAACCCACGTGTTATGAGCGAGGGGCTCTCTTGGGTGGTCATTAATATTAATTGATTGATTTACTGACTGATTGCACTCTTAAATCCCACAGTAAAATGCCTGCTTACTTTGTTTCCTGTCCTTTTTATCGAGTGTATTGATTGTCATATTTCCAAGGGGACGATGAGATACCGTTCCGTGAATTTTGTTTTAAGGAGATATACATTGCAGTTCTTTACATTGTTGTTGAGCAAATACGGATGTTATTTTACTCTTTGTTGCGATGAAGCTGACGTATCGACGGATTTCGCCTTCCTCAGAGCCTGGAAGGGTCAACTTGACCGCAGTCTACCCGGACAAACAGTACCTCTAATAATAATGTAATGATACCATCCTTTACAATAATCTACCTCTGTTTGGCTGGGTGGATTGCGGTCAACTTGACCTTTTCAGGCACTGAGGAAGGCGTACTCTGGCGAAACTTCGGGTCGATCGTGGATGGAGAATAAGATAACCTCGTGTTTCTCATCAGAAGACCACTGAACTGTTAGATCAGTGCCAAAGTTAACAGAAAGTCAGTTATGGGAATTATACATTCAGGTGTTTGTTTCCCTATAAGTTGAAGGTCATAATCGAGAAAAGCTTTAGTAAAATAAGTTGTTAGTAACTAGTAATCCATTGCGCTTAATTCCCAAGAGCGCCTTTCGGTTAAGCTCGGCATTGGTGAACAATTTGCTATTTAAACTTGTAATTTTTTATCATATTTATATTCTTATTTGGTTATGACTGCTAATTATCTATTAAATTATTCGAGTGACGTTCTATAAATTGTTACTTACTGTTCGCTATTGTATTTTTTTACCGTTGCGCTTAAATATTTCCCATACCGGTTGGATGGTAGACATTCCTCAAACGATGAGCTATGTCGAAAACCCATTTTCTAAGTTATTTTTTTTCAAATTACTTACTTGGATACTTGGGTGGCTCATCCTTACTGATTGTGTGGGCACCAGCATATTCTCCACTTTTCGGAAATTTGCTGGTTAAGCCATTCTGGTTCTCTGGAATCCCGAGGTCAGCCTAGCCAGAGTTTCCCTCAGGTCGACACCACCACGGGCGCTCGCAGCCCATGTGGAGCTGAGCGAGTTTTGCTAGAATGCGACTAGTTTGATACCAGATCCTGGTATCGGTTTGCTCTTAGCTGGGCTTCCTGATGGAAATGCCTGACTTCTTCTCAGCTTGAGAGACTCTGCTGAGAGGATAGATTCCCCGCAGTACATCGCAGCCCGACATCCAGGACCACCTCCGAACCACAATGAGGCGCCACACTGTTGGGATCTTTTTCCTATTACTTAAAGTAAATGTCCACTGTTATCGATCTTTGTGAAAACCTTTAATGTATTCATTAGAATTAAAATCGGTCATGTGTGTTTTCGTTGGAGAACTAAAGTACCCAAACTGCCTGTTTCTAGAATCATCTGGGATCTGATCAAGGAGAAGTTGATCTTCCCATATGTGGATCTTAATATTCACTTCTTCGATTTGGGAATTGAAAACAGGGATAAAACCGACGATCAAGGTAAGCTCGTGAGTAGCACTTAAATCTACCATTCCAATCTATTGGATCGGTGTTCTTATCTTTTCTTAAGTAGTAAGAGCTTTGTTGCCTTTGTGGTATCAATGTCAATTTCTAAAGTTATCTTGTCATTTTCTCTAATTACGACATAGAAGGGTGCGTGGTGCGCAGTGGTCGGAGCCTTGGGATCGATCTCCGCGCCCAAGGTTCACCAAGCCTTCCATCCCTCCGGGTTGGGCAAATTGGTACCAGACTGGTCTGGGAGGATAGCAACATGGCCCGATACATCGGTGGGCCACGAGTCATTGTAAAGACCAGATATGCATTCAATCACCGCCAGCGAAGCTTGGTGAGGTTGAATGCATCCCTTAGGGATTGATCGACGCCGAGACCTTTTTCTTTCAGCACATGAAATCGCGATAATCTAGTCGACCGTAATTTGACAAGTTCTTACAGTGACCATTGATGCAGCCCACGCCACTCTGAAGTACAATGTGGCTGTAAAATGTGCCACGATCACACCTGATGAAGCTCGAGTAAAGGGTAAACAACTAGTATTTCTTTCTTTTTCCTTGTCTTGTTAGTCATTTTCAAAGTTTAGAGTTCAACCTTAAAAAGATGTGGAAGTCACCGAACGGCACTATTCGTAATATTCTTGGAGGTGAGCAATGATTTCGAATTGTGGAATGCTTTTTATAGCTAGAGGAACAGTTCCTGGATTTCTCCATAGTCTGTGATATGGCGGCTGAGAGAAAGGTGAAACGAAAGGCTCGCATGGTGTAGTGGTGAACGCGTTAGCCCGCGGAAAGGGTAACAGCGTGTTTGGTCCCCACCGCAGACACCAGCGGTCCGGAGTCTTGCAAATATCTCATAATCATTATGGCTGTATTTCACATAATACCATGGCATTTAAAGAAAAGGAGTAGGCAGTAAGTAGGAAGTGACGACTGTGGTGTTGTTTTTCTTGTAGAATTCAAGTTGTGCAAAGTGATTTTATTCCCAATCGGTAATATTCGTTTTATCCTTTAGTGGAGCGAAGTGGAGCGTATAACGTAGTAGGCGAAGGCCCCTTGCAACACACGCGTGGAATCGATCATGCGCCCATGGCCCACCAAGCCTTCTATCCCTTCGGGGTCGGTAAATTGGTACCAGACTTGTCTGGGAGGATAACAGACTGACTCGATACATCGGTAAGCCACCGTAAGTCATTGTGGAGGCCAGATATGCATTCAGTCGCCTCCAACGATGCTTGATGAAGTTGAATGGATGATGCATCCCTCAAGGATTAATCAACGCCAAGAGCTTTGTCCTTTATTTTCATCCTTTACGGATTAAGCTTCAGTTTCCATATGAGCTAGAATGTAGAGAAGTTCAGTTGTCTTCTCTTTATTACCATTATTGGCTTCGTCATACATCTTTTGTAGGGAATAGACCGGATTTATGGGCTCGTGCTACTATTGTAAATTACTGATTTCCTTCAGGTACTGTTTTTCGTGAACCAATAATTGTTAAGAATGTTCCACGTCTTGTCAATTCATGGACAAAGCCCATTATCATAGGACGCCATGCTCATGCTGACCAGGTCGGTGACGAACGATGAGTATTTTCCTATCCGGCAAGTTTGCCACTATTGCTTTAATGCAGTTAGTCGCTATTTCAGTACAAGGCTACGGACTTTGTTGTTCCGGGAGCAGGAAAACTGGAGATCAAGTTCGTTCCAGCTGATGGCTCTGCTGAAATCAAACACGAGGTGTTCAATTTCAAAGGACCTGGAGTATCGCTCTCAATGTATAACACTGACGAATCCATCAGGTTTCGAACTTATTCTAGGCACTTTTTTCTTATCAGAGTATGGCTCAGAAACAGAATTATTAGTTTAGTATTCACCTTTCTAGCGTTAGATTCGTTTCCATTTAGGTTAGATTCTAATAAAAAGGACTATAGCTCTTGGTGTTGATCAATCCCTGAGGGTTGCGTTATGCATTTGATTTCACGAAGCGTCGTTGGAGGTGATTGAATGCATTATCTGGTCTTTACAATGACTCACGGAGGCCTACCGTTGTATCGGGCTAGTGCTGCTATCCTTCCAGACAAGTCTGGTACCAATTTGCCGAACTCGGGGGTATAGGTGAGCCTGGAGCCCGGGGATCGATCCCATGTGTATTGTAAGGTCCTCCGACGGTACACGCGCTGTTAGTGCCCCACCATCAGTAATTAGTTTCTATGTGTTATGAGCTGTATGTTTTCTCTTTATTTTACAGTATTTCAAATACTTACTAGTTAAGGGATTTTGCTCATGCATCTTTCAAGTATGCAATCCAAAGGCGTTATCCTCTATACTTGTCCACAAAAAACACTATCTTGAAGAAGTATGATGGGCGATTTAAGGATATTTTTGCTGAAATATACAAGGTTAGTCAACTATGTTCACCGATGTAGTTTGGGTGAATTTTCGATTATTCATTATGTGTATTAATCAGTACGATACTGATCATACTGATCAGTATCGTGCGCCCAGTGGTTTACGTCCTTATCGTGACTCTAAGATGTTCCTAAGTATCGGACTGTGATCAGGGACTGCATCGGGGGGATTAATTCCCCGGCAGGGCCTTCTAAGCTGAGAAGGAGTCTGGCGTTTCCATCAGGAAGGTCAGTTAGGAGTAAACCAACACCAGGATCCACCAACGTCATGACATTAAACTAGTCGTGTGATGGGAAATTTCCCTCTAATCCAAAAGAGCAGCGACTGTCTGTGGTGATGGCGTCCTGGGGCCGACTTTGGCCAAACATATGTCGGGATTCCAGGGAACCACAATGGCTAAACCAGCAAAACTCCAAAAAATTTGAAATTATGCTAAGGACTCACATGGCCAGTGAAGGCGGGTCATCCAAGTAGCCAAGTAGGTATTAGTCACTACAATATTCACGATAGCTTTCTGGTCACGTGTCTTTTGTTGAAATTAGAAACTCTGCCCTTTGTTTTGATTATAGTATTCATTTCACTTTACAGTCCTGATTTCGTTTTCCAAAGTCTTTCTTAGCCTAGTTTTAGGAGTACGAGCCGCAATTCAAATCAGGAGGTATCTGGTACGAACATCGCCTTATCGATGACATGGTGGCCCAAGCTATGAAAAGCGATGGTGGTTTTGTCTGGGCGTGCAAGAACTATGACGGAGACGTACAGTCCGACTCTGTTGCGCAAGGTAAATTATAGAATTCGTTGTCGTACTTACTGTTTAGCTTTAAGTTAAGACTAGTGAACGTGATCTTGTGTTCCCTCCAATCACGTTTTTATTGACGCGAGTTTGACGTTGGATTGAGCTCTGAAAGTTTTTCTTTTCATTTTATGACTGGGCGTTTTGCTTTCCGTTCGTGATCGCATAATGATTTACTCTTTGAGGATATGGTTCACTGGGCCTAATGACTTCGGTACTAGTGTGTCCGGATGGCAAAACTGTTGAAGCAGAAGCAGCACATGGCACGGTAACACGACACTATCGTCAACACCAAAAGGGGGAGGAGACCTCTACCAATCCCATAGGTTCAGATGAAGTTCTTTTTGCTGCTTTTTGATTGTATATATTATTGTCACATCGTATGATATTTGTTTGTCTTCCAGCTTCTATCTTTGCTTGGACTCGCGGATTGTCTCACCGAGCTACACTTGACGGTAACAATGAGCTAGCAAAATTTGCTGAGAACCTCGAAAAGGTATAATAAATACGTTTAGAGGGAGAGCTGATTTTCATTTAAGATTGCTGACTCGTTCTTGACGTTCAGGTGTGTATTGAAACCATGGAGGGTGGATTCCTCACTAAAGATCTCGCTATATGCATCAAAGGCAGCAGCAGGTTAGTATTTACAACCTTTAGTGGATTCGACACTCAACTTTCCTTAACTCAGAATATTTCAGTGTTACTCGGTCAGACTACTTGAATACTTTCGAGTTCCTGGATAAATTGGCTGAGAATCTCTCTAAGAAGCAGTCGAGCCGTTGATGATTTTGTGATATCGACTTTAGAGTTGTTTAATGGTTGTGAAAATTGTTTATAAGTTAATGAAATTTATCTTTACTGCGTTGAACTAACTTATTGCTCATACTTAGGTAAATATGTTCCTAAATACAGGTCCATTTGATTGTATGCGGATTGTCTCGTGCACGACGTGAATGCCAGAAATCTACAATAATGCTGTCGGAAAATCTATATGAGGCAGATCATGATCAGTTTCGATAAGAAAACCCATCAAGAAGAGGTATTTGTGAGGACGCAAAGTCACAAAAGGCGAATATTTTACTACCTGCAAAATGACACAACATGAGAAGGACACGGACCGAAAAGTTGCTAGAGGAATAAGGCTATAATAGGCAAACAAGATCGAAGAAGGTTGTGATGACTATCTGAAGTTTTGGTGTGGGCACGCTGCCGTCTAGAACTTCGATTGGGCAACAGGTCGTACAAATTTCCCGACCCAGGAGAGATGGAGTGGTTGGTGAGCTTGGGACGCTAGTTGAATCCTTTGTGGATTACAAGGCACTTATAACCACTGCGTTTCTGAAACATTACTGAAAAGCTGTTTCGCAGAATATGTTTCTTTTAACAAAATTGGTATATAGCTCATTGGTTTTGGTGTGACTGTTGTTTTACTCTCTCTACATTCAGAAATCCAGGATAGAAATTTCTTTGATGAGGTGTTCCTATCTATCCGTAGACCACATATCGACTCCTCGCCACTGTAGAACGTTCCACAGAGATTTATCGATAGGGGAGAGTGCTGGCATTTCTTTTCTCTGTGGGAAATCACACGCACTGTGTTGACGCCTACACTCCTGCGCCGGGTTTGACGTGGTGGTCACTTGGCACCACGCCGTGGTTTTCGCCACATACAGTGTGTATTGCATCCATTGCGTACGGTCCACTGTGCCCTCGCTAATTAAATAGTCAAGTCCTTGTTGTTGTCCTTTTTGCTCCATAATCCAGTTCCTCTACACTTTTTTGCGTCTATTCCTCTAGCTCTATGTCCTTGGCGTTATATTCGTGAAAAGGACCCATAGTAATCGATTCACATGGACCATCAGGATTCTTCATTATGCAAATAGTAGAAAGATCTGCAAAGTTCAGAAGACAAACTACCAAGGTCCCCATAAGTTGGGGGTTTTTTACTTTTACATTACCTGCAATCGGATGTTTTATCTTTCCAATGTCACTGTTTCACTTGCGCTTACATAACCATTGCCTTCTGGACTCAAGATGTTTTTTAATTGTGCCAAAGCGAAAGAAAGTCGTGTATTTCGAATAACCAGGTACCGAAATCGTTATCGTTTGAGCTGTTTTCATGCCTTTGGTGTTTTTGAGGAGAGTTCTACTATTTTGACACTTGGATGGCCCATCTTCACGATCCATAAAGAATACTGTGAACCCTGGCACAGTATCCTCTTGTCTGCTGATATGGTGGTTGGATAAAATTTTCTTTTCATGAAGTCTGGAAAGTCGTGCTAAGGTTTTCCGAGGTCGTTACTAATTGCCAGGTGACTATATTGCTACGATGATGATAGTAGTTGCTGGCCACCTTATTCTGGCTATTCTTCGGACCTCCAGATCAAGATTTCTTCCGTGCAGTTCCTATTCTGGGCAGTCAACAGTGAAATATGCGATCGGTTCATTGAATAGTTTCCGACAATGCTGTTAAAGACCTGAGCTTGAATGTCATCAAGAGAAGTTGGTCTCTTCGCTGCAGGCAACTACGAACCTAAATCTGAGATAACAAAGCTAGGCAGAGAAGCTAGGAAAGAAGAGAAATGTCATTGTATTTGTTAGACGAGTTTGTTAATCAAGCCTTATTCGGCTAACGTTTCGACGTCTACATCTTCATCAGACCTTGTGATCCTAATCGATGGTCCACAGCTGTTCGCCTTCTCGACGTGGCATCTTCGTCTTTGTGTTGAGTCGGATCTTCCTCAGTGGAGCATCTCTGGAATGAGGCGTACTCACCTGGCGATGTTCTTTTGTACAGGGAATTAGACGTAAAAATAGAAGTAGACGAAGTAGTGATTTAACAGTTCCCAAGATTGACTTTCTATTAACCTCCGCATTGGATTATAAATCTGTTGTTCCCTTTTTTACACCAATCGCGAGGTTGTTATTCATCACACGTAATTCCTCACAAATATAACACATACAACAAAACGGTGGCTGACGTTTCGGCAGTATCGCCTACTTCAAAGCCTGGAAGCGTACACTAATCTTTTGATGTCTCGACAGGATATCAGTGTATCAGGAAAGCACTAGAAGACGAAATCTACTCCTTCAGCTGTGATCTCTTCAACTTTTGACTTCCCTCTTGTTTTTAACCATCTTCGGCGGTGTGTATAAGGTACAATCCACAATACATTTCATTTCTGTACATTTCTTATAAGAAATTCCTAGTTTCCACAATCGATTGATTAGTTGTTTCTGAATGCAGGATGGATGAGAATTAACTACTAGTCCAACATCAAGCTCCCTCTAGGTCCCTTCTCGATTCTTGTGTTCACGTTTACTTTTGCGGTAATAAAGATATTCAATTGAATATGACCTATGTGCCATTAAATCTTTGATCAAAAATAATTGCCATTGAGTATGACTAGATTATTACCGTATCCTCTCCTTTTATCCTGCATAATTATGCTTGCCTTGCTAGGTGGAAAGATTCCGTCGATGAACAACATGGTTGATGTTACTATGTTAATTCTTATTCTCCTCATTCGTGTATCCCTTCGCTATGGAAGGTGTTTCTGGATCCTGAAGTGCGCTATTCAAAGGGATTCATCGCCTAACAAAATCACCTAGAACATTTCAATTAGGAGAAATAGTTGAAAGAAAACATATACCATGGATCACCACCATACTTATCGAAGGCTTGTAACAAAGAGGCATCCTCCAGTAAACAAGACTTGACATCTGTCTTCGATAACGACCTCTAAAAAGCTTTGCACGGCTATTTTGACCCTCCAGGGAAAAAAACTCTTGCCAAGACAGCAAAACATCAGTTGAATTGTTCAAAGCAACCTTGTTTCGTTGTGCAGACGAGCTATCCAAGCATTCGTGTCATTCTTTTCATAATTATGTAGTTGGTATACGTAGTCCTAGTCGGTAATTTGAAATCAAGATTATTTGCCACTGTTTAGCAACATTGAGGTTTATGCTCAACTAAATTTGTGTATTGTTCAAACTTTTTTATATAACACAACGATGCTGAGATCTTTGCAAAACTCCGAAGCGCTGGTGTCTATGGTGGGGACCGAACGCGCTATTACCCTTTCCGAGGGCTTGCGTGTTCACCACTCCATGCGAGTTCTTTTTTATGTAAAGTACAAAAGAAAGATGCAGCTCATGGCGTTCATGTGTCGCTAAGGGATGCTCCAATCTTTCGACATCATTAAGCATCGTTAGAGGTGATTGAATACATATCTAACCTATGTAGTGACTGGAGCTCGCTTGTCGATGTATCGGGTCAGTGCTGCTATCCTCCCTAACGAGTCTGGTACCAATTTTCCGGCCTTGGAAGGATGGAAGACTTGTGAGCCTAGAGCGCGGGGTCGAGCTAGCGACCACGTGTGTATCACAGGGCATCTGTAATCACTGCGCTGCACCCGTCCCGTTAATAATTTTGTGTGCCATTGTTTACTTCAACACCTAATAACATTTCGAGTATGAATAATTTCTGCTTTAAAAAACTCTCGTTTCCTTCACATGTTTGTTCGAATTTCTGTCATCTCTGTCTATTCATGTGTTTATCTCTAATCGATTCCTTTTCCTTCGTCTTACAGTCGTCCTTATTGTGAGCGAGTTGACATGGTGAAGTTTTCGGCTCTTCTACTCGATATCGAAGGCACCATCACCAGCATTTCATTTGTAAAGGTCTGGTTATTATTACGAGCTAAATCATCGGTCTTCTGCTATTAGACAACAATTTCTGAGTATTTCGATCTAATTTCTAGACGAATACTGTCTTATTACTGGTTTTTTTCTTCAACACTACTTGTTTTTGATTGTGTGGTGAAACATTAGCAGTTAACCAACTATTGAATTGTATGCGGTTTTAACCTTCCTTATTTCTTACGCTAATAATCAGCTAAGAAAAGGGGTATAATTGGAAATCTGCGACGTTGACCGATCAGAACACCAGCTTGACAAGCCGTCGAGGCATTTGTTCATTGTTTACAAACGGATCTGCCACCGAATTATCCTCTGTTGACCTCTATAGTGGCTGAACCATTTCGTGTGAAGGGATATCAGATTTTAACCATACTGGCCAGCGAATCTTATAGGATTCAAAGTCTGTCCTTAGAACCCCTAAATCCAACGTTTTCAAAGGGTTGTCAGCATTATTTTTGTAAGAGATCGTAGAACATCACGACGGCGTTCATTTAGAAAAAACAGTTTCGTGACAGACTGACTTAACAACTTAGACGTTCATTACGGAGTCATCTTCTACCATCTACTCATCAATTAGGCTGCTAGCTGTTTACAGAGCGAGAAGTGAATCCCACAAATACGAGTTTCACCTTGATTCTACTAAACTACTCGCTAAATCAAGTTTTCCGATTCGATTTGAATCAACGTTAGTGTACTCTTTATAGGACACGCTATTCCCGTACGCCTATAATGCAGTTGAAAGTTTCATTCGTGAGCATTTTGAAGATGAATTGATGACGGAGATAATCGCTGATATACGAGATGTCTCTGAACGAGAATCGAAAGTGGATTCCAATATTAGGTATTGTGAGCTTACTAAATTTTCCCCTTAATTATTTTCTTCACGTATCTCTGTGATGATTGTGGAGACGGTAATTCCCGAGAGACTACGTTGCTGCGCATCGTCAGGTCGTAGATGGGAGGCTGAATCATTGACTTGTTTTACAAGTTATACCTTGCTTTATTTTACGCTTGCATCATTAAATATTAATAAGAGGCGTGTAAAGTAGAGTATAAAAAAGGATAAAGGGTAAAGTTCCCGGCGTTGATCTATCCCTGAGGGATGCGCCGTGCATTCGACTTCATTAAGCTTCGTTTGGATGTAATTGGATGTATATCTGGCCTTTACAATGATCTGCGGTTGCCTACCGATGTATCGAGCCAGTGTTGCTATCCTCCCAGACAAATCTGGTACCAATTTGCGGACCCAGGAGGGATGGAAGGCTTGGTGAACCACGGGCGCGGGACTCGATCCCATGTGTGTGTTGCAGGGCACTTTGTACCAATACGCCAAACGTGCCCAGTAGAGTATAATTCACTATATTACGATAGAAAATTAGAATGTCTATAGTTTACCTTGTTGAAGTTCTGATTTTTAGTCAAGTGAGTGGAACTGAGTGTCTTTGCTAAATCTCGCGTGCTCTACACACGCCGTGGGCTGCTGATAAATTCATTTAATGGACTGACTCTTTGTCTTTTCTGTATTTAAGCATAGGTTTATCCATGGGCTTGTGTTCATATGGGTATGGTGCGCATGGATTCTGCCAAGAACATGAATGTGTCGTTTTCTTGTTCAGCAATCGCGAGGTTTTTAAACAGCATACATTTACTTCCATAAAAACACAATACAATACAACGCTAGCTGACGTTTCGGCAGTATCGCCTTCTTCAGAGCCGCTTTTTTCGTGCCGAGTGCCTAAACTGCTCGATCTTCAGATGGTCTGGGAAATATTTCGCGCAAATAAGGGGGTTGGCAAAGGGACAGCGATTGGCACCAAGCCTTGCCATTGTGTTTATGTCTAAGATAGAAGCCCCTGTTCTCGATCTCCAGCCACTACTCTACTGCAGATATGTAGATGATTGTTTTGTCGTCTTCTCTACGCAGGAGGAGGTGGACAAATGCTTCGAATTATTAAGCGAGCAGTCCGAGTACATAAAGTTCACCCGGGAGAAACCGAGAGAAAACTGGCTTCCGTTTTTGGACGTCCAAATAAACCTATCAAGTAGCGGTTACCTGACAAAGTGGTATCGAAATCCAAGTAACAAGAACATCCTTGTTCATTTCCTTTCTTCCCACCCTTCACACACAAAGAGGGCGATTGTGAGAAACATGTTTCGAACAGCCACCTCTGTGTGCACTACTAGGGAACTAAAGGAAGAATCGCACGACTTGGCCCGGCAAATAGCCATCTCCAATGGCTACGAAATAGTAACCCAACGAGATAAGTTTACAAGGAGAACGACGCGCCCACGCGAAACACTTGGCCAAAACAAAATCCCGTTTATGTTGCATTTTATATGCGATGAAGTAAGCGTAGCTATGAAACGATGCTTGAGAAGGGCAGGTCTAGAGGAATCGGTAGCGATAGTTGAAATACCACCGACTACTCTACGTCGCCAATTAGTTCGCAACCTGTATGACCGTCTGTGTGAAACAACAAATTGCGTAATTTGCCCTTAAGGCAGGGACGGTGATTGCATGAGTTCAGGTACGATATACCTGATCTCGTGTAACAATTGCGGAGATGAATATATTGGCGAAACGGGCAGACCTTTGTGTATCCGTATAAAAGAACACCTAGATGGCAAACGAAAACTAAGACGAAGCACCCCACCAGGCACGCATAGGATACAAAAGCATAGCGGAGACGATTTTGAAGTAAAAGTCAATATCCTTGCACAGGAGTCCAAAACACCAGCGCGAAAACTTCTTGAGGCTTTTTGGATCAATGCCAAAAACCCTACAATGAATAGCAGGGACGAATGCCCGGAGGTCATACGCGACCTGATCCCGTACGTTCGCATTGATTTTTGATGTGGGATGGTGCAGTCGTCAACCACATGCGACTATAATCAGCTGTTCTAAACTTCCTTATTGGAAGTCACGAAAAAGCGGTGGGTTTTTCGAGAAGTTGTTGATCGTGTAATTACCAAAGAGTCTTTCGTCTTTGTGTAAGTGTTATTGAAGCGTTTGGCCTAGTAGATTGTGTATCAGTGTAGGCTCTTCCAGGGTCTGAAGAAGGCGATACTGCCGAAACGTCAGCTAGCGTTGTATTGTATTGTGTTTTGATGGAAGTAAACGTATGCTGTTTAAAAACCTCGCGATTGCTGAACAAGAAAACGACACATTCATCTGCCAAGAACCTTCCAGATTAAGTGACTGTGGATTACATTAGTGATTATTTGGAGTCGTTTTCTACAAATAAGGTTCACGTTTACCCTGGAAAATCTACAGTATCTATGACAACATCCGGCGGGTTTCTCACGGCTACCAATTTGACGCAAAAAGCAAAAGTATAGGACGTCATAGGACAGCGATGATCTTTGTGTCCGTCGAGTGAACGCAGTGATCTCAGTGATCAGTTCTTATGGAAGAGAGGCGAATGTTAACTTTTTTGGTGTCTACTTAATTGCCATTTAGCTAACGGATATTTGAAAATTTAGGACTGTAAGAAGTTCTAAAGATTATTGCATTGCTGATGTGAGCCACAACGTTAGACATTGGATTGATATTGATAAGAAGGTACTCATCACTATTTGTCTCGTTTTGAAAACATTACCTAAGTAGAAACGAAGATTTGTGGTGTTAATCATACCATTTGACATTTATCCTTTTATCCTTTAATCATACCATTTACTGAAAACGGTTTTCTTTCGGTAACTGCTATGAAAAAACTACAAGGACTCATTTGGAATGAAGCGTACACGAAGGGAGAAGTGAAAGGGCAGTAAGTCTCATTGTTTTTTATCCATGTTCAACGAATGTATCACGATTTATGCTAATTTTGACATTCGCGCTGTTCTATCTGGCTGAAAAACTTTTATTGATAATAAAAGAGTCATCATGTCTCGATTGTTTACAACTGTTCCTTGCCGACTGGCAACAATGTAAACCGTCTATGAGTCATGTGTGAGAGGGAAGGGGTGTTAGCGTGGTGATAGTTACGCCGTTGATCACTATTTTGGTGGTGGTTCGAGCGATACCAGGTTCAGCAGACCTGCCATCCATTTGTCTGGGGCATCTCACTCCTTCCAATCCACGTGGAAAAACCTTAGTTCGGCTATCCCAGGTTTGCAAGGAGAATCTAATCGACAAAGGTTCGCCAACATTCATAGAGAAGACGAAAATCTTCAGGCAGCAGTTGAAGTCGCGTGCGAAGTGTTACTGGAAGATCTTTGAGGACGGTGGATGCGAGAAGACGAATTGAATGCAAGTGCTGGGATCAGCACAGTAGATGTGATGACAAGTTCTGTTAAAGTATGAAAAAATATAAATCATGCATGGAAAGTGGTAGTGCGATCGCTGAACTTTAACACAGTCGCGACGGCGTACATTTCTTATACGTCAGTGCGTATGGTGATAATGCATCCTGTAGCAATCGGATTAGTATTAGGTGGCATATAACAAAACAAACTTTCATTAAAGAATAAAGCAAGCGTTATATAAAGATTTGTAACAACCCCTTATAAACTTTCAATAAACCGGAACATTGATTATTGATGCCGAGGTTTAGTGGTAGGCTGGGTTTAATGTTTGAAATCAGTTTTTTATATTTTAATTTACACTTTCATATGTGTAAAACAAGTGTAAATCAAATGAACATAAGGTCACCTTTCTAATTTTATCCTTGAGCATTCTTGCTCAAGTAGTAGGTTTGACCAGTAATCTCAAATTTTTATCTGTGACTGGCTTTTAGGTGCTCCGCAAGGCTTTTATTTTGGAACCTTTCTCAAAGGTTTCGTCGTGGTTCTTGACAGGTATTGGTGCTGTAGGCTACAGTCATTTCATTGGACTACAAAATTTTATTAATAAATCGCTTTAAGTAATGTTAACATCACTTTTCTCTTGACCGCTCAACTGCGACATCATTGAGGTACACATTGAAGTGTTGAACTTCGAGATTCGAAATCAGGGCTGTATATAGACTAGTAGTATGCTATGTTTAACTTTTTTCTTGAACTTTGGGAACTTTCGATTCCGCTTATATCTTTCCACATACGTTTTGTTTTAGGCTTACAATCATTTTTATTTGATAGTTAACACTGAAGTTTTACGGTATATGAACAGTGTTCCATGATTTTAACTTCTTATTTGCTGCCTACTCTTTTTAACGGCAAGGTATACATTGCGAAATATAACTTCACTACTCACGAAATATAACTACTTTGAAGTGTTCCGTGAGTTAAGCTTCAACCCGCACTGGTTTTTTTTCCTATCAATCTATCTAGTCCTGAAACTTACGAACATTTTTGAGATGCATTCAAAAGTGGGAGATTGTTCATTCCTTTCCTTAAAAAAATCTAACATTTTAAATTAGCGTAAGTCTACACTATAATCATGAAAACTAGCAATTAATTGAAGGATACAATTTATTAAGAGTACCATTTCCTTCTGGTGTTTTAGTGACGTTAGAAGCAGAACCTTTGTAGTATTAATTATAAATGAATGTATGTTCAGTATCTACCCAGATGTACTCTCGGTACTTCAGTCACTGTCTGTGCCTGTGTATATCTATTCCTCAGGGTCAGTGCTTGCCCAAAAACTGCTATTTGGTAATTCAGTGGTGGGAGATGTTACGAAAGTAAGCGTTCTACTAATTTATTTCAATAGCACTAGGTGATAGATGACAATAGTACTTTACACTTGACACTTGATAATTTCCACGACTTATTTTTTTAGAACCTATCTGGTTATTTTGACACGAATGTCGGCCTCAAGGGAGAATCGGAATCATACGAGAAAATATGTAAAGAAATCGGTGTAAATCCATCTGATGTACTTTTTCTTACTGATGTCGAAGCAGGTACGGTCAGCACACGAGAAAAATCTATATTCATTTATTTGGAGATTGTCTGCCTTCACGAATTCAGCGAGTACCAGCGCAATTCCTATAATTCTAGTGCGTTTGTGCTCTCATACCTAGGTTGTTAGTGTACATAAGCGTAGCCCCTTGTGGAGGAATAATTACAGCCTCGTGACTAGGTTTCTTCCAGGTCGATGGGGTTATTGGCAAGCGCTTAATCTTTCTTAAGATAACTATGGACGACTATAATATCTCTAAATGAAATGAAAAAGCGTTCCGTGTTGATATATCACTGAGCAGTACGATAGTCAGTGTTTTTATCCTTCCAGACAAATCTGGCACTAATATTCCGACTACGAAGGGATGGATAGCTTGGTAAGCCTAGAGTTAGTATTGGTCCAATGATCACGCGTGTATCTGAGCGCACTTCTAACCACTGCGCCGCACGCACCTGTGAAATGTCTACAGACTTAGGTCTTTTTGCTTCGAAAGTCCAGAAAGAAATGCTGTCACCTTTGATTTCGTGATAGCTAAGGTCTATGTAAGCTTTTTTACTTTAGAAGCGAGAGCTGCTCGTGCTGCCGGTGTTCAAGTTATTCTAGTTGTTCGAGACGGTAATTCACCACTATCTGAGGAGGCCAAGCAGGACTTCCGCGTTATTCATTCATTAGAAGAAATTTGCTGAGTACAAATAAGTTGGGAACTGGCACAAAGTTATATTCTCTCTCTGTTTTTTTTTACCATTTTATTTCTGCTGTAATATAAATTTATTCCTATAGTAAAAAGATTAAATCATTCACATTAGAACACCACATTGTTAGGTTGGTTATAGTAAACTATCTCTATGAATACATTTTGTTGCTATTTTGTAAATGAGTCAAAATGTTTACTTTATTAAGGATAGTGATAAAGTTTATTCCAGTTGTTCGTGACAAATATCTGCGAATTCAGGTGCTCGTAAAGCTGATTTAGTCATTTTCTTAAGAATGGGATATCGTGGAATGATTGGATATAATCGAGATGCATCGTATTTATCATTTAGGACCTGAAATACGATATAATACAGTAATACGGTCAATAGAAGGCATTTGTGCTTTTCATTGTAAGCTGAGGTATGATGTAGTAAGGGACATTTTTCACTTGTAATGAGTGGCTAATAGGGAAGGAATCTTTGCAGACGGTTTTCCGCTTAGCGGATAGTTGCATAATGTTTATATTTTGTGCTAAGAACTATATCGAAGCTGGTTGTGCTCTACGACCTTAGTGAAGTTTAACACATTCGCAACGGCATGACCTTAAGGTTGGATTATTCTATGTGGAAACGATGGCTGCTCTAAATTTTAAATCAAAACATCATAACTCACAATGAACTTTACTAAATGGCACAAAGTTTGTTAGAAACTACAGATCTTTTCTTATAAGCCATCAGTTTTTTTTTATCCTTATACGTTGAAATTATGGTTTTCCGAAATCGACGAGGTGTAATTTTTCCCCCTATTTTGTTTTGTTGTGCATGTTTTGAACACCAAAGCAATTGAATAAGCAGTATATTGTCCATAAGGGAAATATACCATTGATTTTTGTGATTGCTGCCCCTGCATGGGATCTTTCAAAGTTTTTTTTTTTCGAAAAAAAACCTTGAGACTTTAGGCTTTTTGATAAAATTTGGACTAAAAGGAATTCAAGATTGAGAGAATGCTTTATAGAAATTATATACTCTAAGGGCGATAGAGCAAAGGTTCTGCAGGTTTGTGGAGATCTTAAATGTTCAAGTTTTCTATTAATGGCGAAGTCATCGTCTGATTCTTGAAAAAGCAGCTTCGTCGCGAATATGTTGAATGAAACATATTAGTATTCAAAACATCGTGTGGAAATACGACTAGTTGGTAATCCAGTTTTCCTACTTCCGGGTTTCTTTAATTTCTTCTTCTTTAGTAGTCATTTTCAATATTACCTTGACAATCTTTCTGAGACCTTGATACTTTCTTATCAATTTATACAGCTGTGCATACAAGTCTTCGCAGTCCTTTTGTAGTTCTTCCGTCTTTCGACCTTAAATTATTGCTACTTAACAGGTATTTCTTTCAGTGGTTACTTTGCTCGAAAATGTGATAAGTTCGGAACAAAGTAAATGGGACCGGAAAACCACACCTTTAATGGAATCATAAAGGTTCTGATCGAGTCGAACCTCGGTGCTTCGACCCACTGTTGCGCTTAAAAGGGCTCCGATTCCCGCTGCTAGTTGTCGCGGTGTGGTTTCTTCGAGTAATTCAACAATTCTGAATACTATCGAGTAACTCGTATATAATGCTGAGATATTTCCAAAACTCCGGACCGCAGGTGTATGCGGTGGGGAACGAACACGCGCTGTTGTCCTTACCGGGGAGCAGCGCACTTCACCACCAAACCATCCGGGTAACATCCGGGCATACACCTGCGGTCCGATGTTTTGCAAATATCTCAGTATTATATACGAGTTATATTTCGCAACATACCCTGCCATTAAAAAGAACAAGGCAGTAAATAAAAGGGTTAAGACTATCGAGTAAATAAAAAGAATCGCCTTTACTGTTGTTAATATTGCTATTATTATCACTGCTATTAGTATTAAGGAACAGGTAGCGCAGTGGCAGTGATCTCTTTTATTACGCTGATGGCCCAGTCTACTCTAGAGCTGGTTTGAGCACGCCTCAGGTCTATTAAACGTGGTCGGTAAATAGCTAGGGAACTTGTCGGGAAGGATGGCAGCACCGACTTAACATATCGCAAGCCCCCCTCCCCCCAAAAGTTACTTGGTCAGATGTGCATCGAATCACCTCTGTGAAGTTGCTAATGGAGTCGAATGCATGGCATATCACTAAGGCAGTGGTCAACTCCGACCACTTTATCCTAGGTTCGCATCCATTATTGTTCCGTCGCTGTCGGACCAACACCGTTAATAGATCACTTGTTAGGTCTTGATTTATTGATAATAATTGTAGGTGCATCATACCATAGCATTTAATTCTCTATATAATCCCTTGGGTCCTATACTTAGATAATTGGATACTCGGATGGTCCGTATCCACTGGTTGCACGGCCCCAACGTAATTTTCATTTCTTCGGAGTTTTGCTGGCTTCGCTATCGTATTTCACTGGAGTCTCGAAGTCAGCTTAGTCAAAATCAGCCCAAGTCGTCACCACCATAAGCAGCCGCCGCTGTTGTGGATCAGAGGGAGATTTGCTACCATGCCACGAGTTTGATACAAGTATACTGGTGGATCCGGGTATTGGTTTATTGGGAGACCGTGCTGAGCTATGAATCACCTGCTGTACGTCGCAGCTCGATACCCAGGAACACTTCCTAGCTACGATAAGGCGGTAAACCGTTGCGATGCTTAGATACTATATCGTATTTAAATCTGGAATCTTCGAATACCCTTTCTTTTTTTTATCATTAAAAATAGGTGTGCTTCACAGGTAAACATACCTTACGACGTAATCATTTGATTCTTCAGCACCATTTTGCTTAGGCAAATCTACCAGTTTCCAGTATTGTTTTTCTATTATAATAACCTAAACATACTTATTTCTTCTTTTGTTATTTATTGATAAGATTTAAAGGTGTTTTATTGACTATTGGTCAAGGTTCCACACTTAATCAATCAGTACTCAAAAGTATTCTATACTATAACATTGCTATATACGAAGAAACCTAAACTGTGCCCTAAAAATTATAATGCTGCATTGATCAAAGTATTGATCAATGTGGTACTGTAAATTCGCTTGCAACTACTGAGCACTCAGTATTTCCGTAGGACTTCAATGTACAGTAATTTGAATTCACTATTATATGATTGGAATAAGAAATGCTTAATAGATTCTGTATCTTTAAATAGATGAATATAAAGGAAATATTGCTAACTTTAATGTTTTTGTAGTGTTTTTATGTTGTGTTTGTTCAATAATAATTTTTTATCCTCACTTACAGTATCCAAGTGAGTGTTTAAGATTAAAGAAATTCCTACGGTACTCACATCTCGAACACTTTGCTGTAGTTTCATATATCGCATGATCGGATTAGCAGCTTTCGATTGCAAATAGTCCTCCTGCAACTGTTTAAGGGCGTTTTTTAACAACCTGAAATAGAGAATAATCTTATATAATTAAGACTTTTCTTTGTGCACGTGTAACGCAGTGGTTCAAGGTGCCGTGCAATTGACAAAAGCTGTTTGGTTCTATCCCTGCATCTGTCCGATTTGGAAAAATTGGTGCCAAATTCGTTTAGCCTGGTAAAAACACTGTTTTTATACATCGTTAGATCCCCAAAAATTATTCTATAGGTCAAATGGGTATTCAGTTGCCTCTACAATGCTAGGAATGGGGTTGAATGCGTGGCGTATCTCTGAGAGATTGAACAACGTCGAACGCCTCTTCCTTATTATTCCTCTATACAAAGTTCTATTTCGAATCTGAATAATTCTAGGCGAAGAGTAGCGTCATGCAAAAAAAAGCTTTGACCTATGTCTTGTCGTTCCTGACAAAAATTTTTTTCTTTATTTCAATTGTATTCGTCAAAATATAGTTTCGTATTTTCTTTCCTCTCATTTCTGTTCATCGAATGTACAATTATGGTCCGTTTTCTAAGTTTGTGAGCAGTTTCATCCTATGGTTTTTTTCTACTGAAAAAATCTTTGCCGTGAAAATGGCAGCAACAAATCTTGCAGTAGATGGAAAGCTTAGAAAATCACCTGTACGGTTCAAGGATACGTTGCCGTGTTCGATGTAGTTTATATACGGTATTAATTAGGTTATCTCTGCTTGATCCTGAAGAAAGCCCTCTTTTCATAACTGCTTTCTTTTCAGATTTTTAGGTTTCAAAGATTAGTAAATAAATGATAATTTCGTTACATGTTGTTTACCAAATCACCAATACCTTAGTGGAAAATGAAACAGTAAAATAGCTAAAATCACCAAATTTAAACGATTAGACTCCTCGTTTACAAGGTCTTCATACATCTTTTCTTTTCGTTATCATTAATAAAAAGGTTGATCAGATAGCGCAACGGTAGATATGCCGTTTATAAGTGAGAGCTCCTGGTTCGACTAAGGACTACGCCAACAAAGACTCCCACATCTTTGAGGTTGAAAAATTGCCGCCGAACTTGTCTGCTTCTTCCTTCCTGTTCATAAAAGCTGGCAAATTCCTGCGTTGAAGACCTTGGGATGTTATATTACGGCTATTCCAGAACCCAATGAGAATATACTCTTTCAACATTCGACATAATCCACGAGGAAGAACAAAATTCAAAAACCCGTGCGGATGATGGATACCAGCAAGAGATCAAATCGTTTAATTCGATGCTAATTCGGTGACGAGAAAACGAATATTACTCATTTCTCATCCTCGCAGATTTTGAAGTAGAAATGCCAATCCACCTCAGCGCGTAAAACCCTTGGAGCATTCTAGATAAATTCTAAGTCCAAAATTTAACCGCAGGGAGGAATGCCTCATTATCATGCGAGATCTCACGCAACCTCTTAGAATGATATTTTGACGTGAGAGAGGTAAATTAGGCTTCCATGTTCTGTGAGGTTGATCCCCGCGTGGAATACTCAGCGGGAGCGAGACTCATAGAAGGCAGTGAGGTTGTGAAGAAGGCGTTTTGTTTAAAAGCGATTGAAATCTATGCACCGCGGCTTTTCTGTTGAGGTTATGGAGGTGTTTGCCTGAATAGGTTAGTGTGAAACTAACATCTCCAGGCTCTGAAGAAGGCAAAATCCACTGAAACGTCAATTTTAATGAACGAATAGATGATCTCCCGTATACTTATTAAGAAAATGGCGAATAACACTCACTTCCTGGTGTTATAAACTGCGGACAGTCCGATGAACCACCACCTTTGGCCATAGAAAGGAAAATGTTGAACATTATGTCCTGTAAAGCATTTCTTTCCTTTTGGTGAAAAACATCAATATTCACATTTTACGCATAAAATGTACAATGAACGTCGATCGATCACATGAGTAACATAAAAATATGAAGCAAGAGTTCTCAAGATCGACTTTCTGTTAACTTCGGCATTGGATTATAAATCTATTGTTCTCTTTTTTTACAGCAATCACGATGTTGTTATTCAGCACACGTTTACTTCCTCACAAATATAACACATGCAACACAACGGTAGCCGACGTTTCGGCAGAATCGCCTTCTTCGGAGCAGGGAAGGGTACACTAATATGTAATTTACTGGGCCAAGCGCTTCAACAACTCAAACAGAAAGATCAGATCTGAAAATCTGAATAGTAATTACACGATCCGGCTTCTCGAAAAACTCACCCTTTTTATCTGTTTTCCACCAAGGAAGAACAGCCGCATATAGTTGAATACTGAATCACCCCACATAAAACACCAGTTCTGAGATACGGGGCTAGATCACGCGTTAGCTCAGGACATTCTTCCCTGCTATTCATACTCGGATTTTTGGAATTTATCCAAAAAGCCTCGAGAAATTTGCGCGTTGGTGTTCTAGTCTCCCGTGTGATGACAGCGACTTTTACATCAAAATCTTCTCCGCTGTGTTTTTGTATCCTATGCGTGCCTAGTGGCGTGCCTTGTTTTGATTTTCGTTTGCCATCTATGTAGCAGGAGCTTTATGAATGTGTTGGAGAAAACGTATGAAGAAATTTTTGACATTCAAAGGTGTTATATTAATTTTACAAAATGAAACCATCTGGATACCGCGAACATAACAAAGATAACCGCAAACATTCTGAGATATTTGCAAAACTCCAAACCGCAGGTGTCTGGGGTGGGGTACGAACGCGCTATTACCCTTTCTAGGGGCTAACGCGTTCACCACCACGCCATCTGGGCTCTCCGTTTCGCTTGTCTCTCAGCTAACATAGATAACATATAATGATAACAAACATAGTTTTAAGCATAATTTCGCGAGAAAATGGCTACCACAAGCTTTTTCGGATGGTTTTTCGCATAGTTCGATGATTATAAGAGCCGGTGATTGAATGAGGTGAGCGACGAAGTGAGTTATTATTACTGATGTGATTTAAAATGGGATCGATCTCATGGAAATCTTTTCGCATGTCTCTTTAAAGCGGTGAAGGGAACCACTCTACATCTAAGCAATTAATGACGAAAGTTTTCTCGACATGGAAAAAAAATAGCGTTAATGCAACACATGCTTATGCGAAGGATTAGGATTAAGGATCGGAGCAACCTGCTAAAATATGAAAATCAACAGAAAGAAACCAAGTTTTTTTTTGGTTAATTCAGGGAAGAAATGCCTTTTTTTAAAAATATTCAGCACTAAGACCAGCGTTCCTCAAGTCTTAAACGTTTAGTTTTTTTAAACATCATATTGGGCGCTGGAATCACGGTGTTACGAATGTTGTGAAATAGGTGTATTGTCACTGATTCGACCTCATACAAGATTAGAGAAAAGAGTGCCGGACTTGTTTTATGTGAGCTACCTCTAATCTATAAAGTTCAGCGATTGACTCTATTAGGGACCTGGAAGTGGTAGAGCTGACATATCCCAGTATTCTAGGCACAATCTACTCGAGCAGCATCTAACAATGTTTATGAATAAGATGTCTTCAAGTAGTAGCTGAAGCATAACGCAAATCTGAAAACTATCATGTGTGGCGGAAGGGAGGCAACGAATGGAAAGAAGTCCTGGGATCCTTATAATACGTAAAGTCGAACCCATAAATTAGAGTAAATAAAAATCCGTGGTTCCACAGTTTTATAGAGTGAAAAAAGCGTCCAGCTAGCGGATGATAGGGAAATCTTGCTTGAGGTCTCGTACTTATCGTTCGTGCTTATTCAGAGTATCATGTGGTAATTGAGTTTTCCGAACTTGCGCAATCCACTGGGATAGCAAAAGAGTGCCAAACACTGAACTGAATTTTTAAGCAAAATTTTCTTTGGAATCCCACATACTTTCCTACCCTACAGCTACAGTGAGTCTTGAACTGCTGGATGCAAGGAACGGGTCAACTACTTGCAAAGTCACAGACGATGTGAAATAGTTTGATTTTCCCATCCGATAACTCATCTAGGTGTAAACCTATGCTTAAAACGTTATTGTAGTGCAAAAAAACCATTCAAAAGACGAAGGACACCTTTTAGACCCATAAAAATTTGCTACTTATAGTAATCACTTCAGAAAAAAACTGACGTGACCATCCCTGGATTCGAAGTAAAGGAAAGCGTTAGGCGTCAATATATCAGCCAAGGGGAAATACTGCTGAGGCGGTACGATTCGTAGAGCAGGCCATCGAAGTATCCACGTGATAATTTCTTTTGGAAGATTTTTCGTTTAAGACGTTTACTTCATTGAATCACGAAAACAGAGACTGTAAGACATATCCATGTTTACACTTACTATATGAGTAAAAAATAGTTATGGATGTTTTCATGAATAATGCACATATCACAGATGTAAAGATTGTGAAGAGAGACCGCGGAGAAAACTTATAATAGCGTCAATATGGTATATAGAATAGTAGAATAAAAGCCAAAGCTTACAAATGAAGAGCAACTTGACATAAGCGTTGGTGAAAAATGGAACGAGTAGGCTGTCAGTGAGCGTAGCTAGAATTAAGAAGCCAGCCATGACTGTGAAGTCTTTAGGGTTGGCGTCATGACTGTGATGAAGTAGCATGTCACCACTTATGAATGATGAACTGTAAAGTTTCCATGAATTCTGTTTAACCTTATAGATTCTCTAAGTTACTACAGTGCAATTTCTCTACCACTATGGAACCCACTGTTGCCGTTGTTGCTGATACAAGTATGCGTTCAACTGATGCAATGGAGCATTTTGTAGACCAGTTTTATTGCTCGGCCATCAATTTCCTATCAAATGAATCCACTTTTGCGGGGATAAAAACTACAGTCATATGAGAGCAAGAGCTCTCTTCTGTAACAAGGTCTTAGAAAATGGTTTACTAAAGCTATGGCGATTTTCGGCTTTTACATCGTCCTTGGGCTGTCGGTTACTTTTTCACTTCCACTTTCCTTTCTGATTTCGGTTTTAAAATCTCTCCGAATCAACTAGTAGGAAGACCGAGGGAAGGATTTGTCGCCGAAAACACACCTCTCTCTGATCCACATCGTGGTGAAGACTTGGATACGCTCTTGCAAGATTACGTCAGGACTCCAGGGAGGACCAAGTTGCACGACCAGCAATAGGCCATCCTCAGTACCCCGCGTACTGGGTGCTCCCGTCTATGACGTCGGGCGGTGAGACGACCGGTGAGAGGTCAGAAAATTTCGGGCTACGCAGGACGTCATTGGAACCGGATCTGACGAACACGCGCACGACACGCCATGGAAACTGTTTCTTACTATGCACATATAATGCCAGAACACTCCCCACAGACGCCGATCTTCACGCCCTTCTTATAGCCGCAGATCGCTTTAAATTACATGTGATCGCATTACAAGAAACAAAAATCAAGAAGACCGACATACGCCAACTAAACAACGGGACCCTTGTGATTAGTGGAGAAAAAGTCCCGTCACGAAATGTCGGTGGCGTAGGCTTTGTCGTCCACACGTCCATTGCCCACCTCGTCGTGTCATACGTGATCCTTTGCCCACGCATAGCCGTCCTCCGTCTTCAACTGTCGCGTCATAAGAAAATCGCTATCATCAACTGCTATTCACCGACCGACGCAGCTGTTGAGTGCGAATTAATTGCGTTCTACTATCAGTTGGAGGAAGTTAACCGCAATGATAAAGCATATCATAAATTTCTTGTTGGAGACATCAACGCCAAGATAGGAAAGGCCAATCCTTCTATGGCCCTCCCAGTGCTCTTTT